GTCTCATCCCATCTCCCAAAATCGAATATAAATAGCCCAACGTACATGCTGAAATAATTGGCAGGGGATTATTAAGGGAAGGATCCATAAATACAAGACGAGGAATCAGAGAAGACGTTTCAATCATACCAGGAAATCTGCACATCTGATACGCAACGCCTAGAATCTGGAAATCTGAGGTTGATAGTATTTAGAACCACAACAATTTGATAGTATTTAGAACCACAACAAAAAACAAGACAGTAAAACGCAATTGCCTTAACTCAAAACACGACCTAGAGTCTGACCTAAAAATTAAAATCCAACGAATGGTACCCGCAAACCTAACGCAAATTTGATTGTCAAACACTAAAGTTAAAAGTCAACCTAGAACCTAACCCAAAACCAAACCCAAAATCAGGTCCAATCCCCAAAGTAAGAAACAAAATCCCTACCCAGAACCTAACCCAAACACCAATTGCAGGGGTGCATTAAGCTATCCCCTAAGAGAGAATATAAAAAGCTACAGGGAACGGTTCACCCAATGTTTGTTAAGGGAAAAACCCGATGTCTGTTAGGATAATTTCAATACTCAAATTAACATTTTCCAACAATATTATCATAATATAAAATTATCATGCCCAAGATCCGAATCCATGAATGTTTGGATGGAAGAAATATCAAAACAGTCTAAGATATCATTTAGGATGCAAAATTAAAAAGAAATTGAAATTGAAGCAGTGTAAATAACCAACTTGCCTTGCAGTCACTGTCTTCATCTCTGCAAAATCTAGTCGTTGTCTCCGTGACTACATTCGAAACCCTTGGGCCGACCATGGTTTCCGGCAAATAGTTCACAGAGAGATGACCCAAGAGATTCCAAGTATAAAAGAGAAGATCAGATGAACGAATATGGTATCCTTGAGATTCCTTCATCGAAGAAGAGAAGACCTAATCGAGAGAGCAAATCGATGGCGAGACTTTTCTCCAGAAGAGAAGACCTAATCGAGAGAGCAAATCGCTGGCGAGAGCCACCGCAGCCTCTCCGTCTCCAATACCGGTAAAACCGGACAGGACCGGGACCTATAAATTGTTATTTTTAATTTTTTTTGTTTGATTTTATTTGTTTAATTTAAAGTATTCAATTGAATAAAAATATTATTACAACTAATTTTTAATTGTAACATACACTGAACATTGTCAAACACATTTTTTTTGAATTTTTTAAAAAACTTTAAACAAAATATATATCTTCCATCCATATTACATAAAATTTGTTCGTAAATTTTATTTTACATCGAGAATATTCTTCTTCTTAGTTCATTTTTTCTTTTTTGTAATATTTTTTTTGAGTTTTTGATTTATTTTGACAAACGGATACATTTTTTACTATTTTTGTTCATGAGATTGTTTACAATGTTTGTTTTTTGCGGATTATCGTTTCATTATTGATAAAGTACAAATTTAAGTGATAGTATTGGTATATAAATTTGAAATGCATTAGATTGCTAATATAAAGGTAATGTTTACTTTTTCACACTTTCCATATTTAAAATACTAGATTCATACCCGTGCGTTGCACGGCAATTAATTTATTTCAAAATATATAGTATAAGTGTATATATAATAAAATAAATGTCTGTATAAAAAAGTTAGATTTAGATTGAAATATATAACAAACTTATTCATGTTGATTTCATGGAGTCTACAAACAATAC